CTGGCAGGGGTTGGGGGCCATGGGGGTCCGGCGTGGTTGTGGGGCGTGGGGGGGCAATTCTGGCTGAGGGCAGGGGGGTCCCATGGGGTGGTGCAGCAGTGGTCCCGTGTGTGCCCATCTCTGTGTCTGTCTGTCTGTGGGCAGCCTGGTTGGGGGGCACGTGGGGGGAGCTGGGGGGCAGCTGGAGGTCTGAGATCTGTGGGGGTGTGGGGTTGGAGGGGGGCTGGGATGGACGGGTGTCACATTGCAGGGCTGGGTGGGGGGCACCGGGGGGGGGAAAAGCGGGCTGCAGTAATGCCAGCAGTGTGAGGACAGGGATGGGGTCCTGTGGGGACAGCATGGGGGAGGAGGAGGGGCAGTGCCATGGTGCGGTCCCCAGAGATGGGATGGATGGACAGACGGATGGATGGATGGGTTGGTTGGAGGATGGATGGGTGGATGGACAGATGGACAGGTGGGTGGATGGATGGATGGATGGGTGGAGGGACACATGGATGGATGGACACATGGGCACATGGATGGATGGATGGATGGATGGATGGATGGATGGATGGATGGATGGATGGATGGATGGAAGGACATTTGTGTGGCTAGATGGATAGATGGCTGGACGGATGGACGGACACATGGACGGGATCAGACCCCCACAGCCCCACCCTCTGCCCCCCTCCAGGCCGCAAATTCATCATCGCCAACGCGCGGGTGGAGAACTGCGCCGTGATTTACTGCAACGATGGCTTCTGTGAGCTGTGCGGGTACACACGAGCCGAGGTCATGCAGAAGCCCTGCACCTGCGACTTCCTGCACGGGCCCCGCACGCAGCGCAGCGCGGCTGCACAGATTGCCCAGGCGCTGCTGGGCTCCGAGGAGCGCAAGGTGGAGATTTGCTTCTACCGCAAGGACGGTGAGCGCTGCGCCGTGGGGGGGGGGAGGTGGGGGGCGGTGCGGTTCCACCCCCTGCGTGTGGGATTGGGGGGCGGCACGTGTGGGTCGGGCTGGGGCAATGATTCTGGGGATGTGTGCCCCGCTCCTGGGTGGCACCGTGCCCCCCAGCGCCCTGCTGCCCATATGGGTCCATATGACGGCCCGCACCACAGCTCCCCACAGGGACTCAGTTTGCATGAACTCCCAGCCTGTAAACTCCAAGCCCCCCCACACTGGGATCCCCCCCACAGAAAGGGGTTTGCCCACTGCCTCCATGGGCGCAGCCACCTCCAGGGTCAGGTCCCAATGGGGCTGTGGGGCTGCCCCACACCAGGCCCTGCGCTCCCACACCAGGTGTCCTGGCTCTCGGCACAGCTGTTACCACCGTGCGGCTCACAGCCCCGGTTCTGACTCCCAGCTGCCATGTGGGACACTGGGGCACGAGGGCAGTGGGGCACACTGCCAGCCTGCCTCCCCGCAGACCTGCTATGGGGCAGCTGTGGTCCTGGCAGTGCCAGGCACAGAACGCAGCGCTGCAGCGCAGGGTTGGCCGCGGCTGCACTTTGGACCCACACAGTGCTGGGATGCAGGCGACACGCGGCTGCTTGATGAGCAGCGCTCATTAGTGCCCGGCTAATTGGCTCTGCCTGGTGCTGGCTGTCAGCTGTGTGCTCAGCAGATGGGAGGATGCTGGTGCTGTCCTTTTGGTGCTGCGCCTGCTGTGCTGAGCCACGCTGCGCTGAGCCGTGCTGTGCCATGCCGTGCCACGCTGTGCTGCACCGTGCCGTGCCATGCCGTGCTGTGCTTTGCCACGCTGTGCTGTGCTGTGCCGTGCTGTGTTGTGCCGTGTCACCCCATTGGCACCAAGCAGGGCCAGCGGGTGCCCCGGGCGCACAGCAGGTGCCGGAGCGGCTGGCATGGAACTGCCTGTGTGTCCCCGGGGAGCGCGGTGCTTCCTGGGGTATTTATAGCCTGGAGAGCACAGAGGGGAGAGAGAATGGCTGCCTTTAACTCTGCCCCCGGCCTGCACGACCCCCTGTGTCCCACCAGCCACGCTCCCACCCCTGGTGTGGGGATGCTCGGGGGGTCCCGGCCCTGCACACATCCCTGGAGCTCCGCCAGGGTGGGACTCTGGCCCCGCATCTCTGCTGTGCTGTGGCCTCACAGTGCCCAGCATGACACAGATGCAGCCACGCCTGCAGCCTGCAGCCTGCAGCCCCCTGCAGCTCCTCAAGCTGCAGCCATCCTCAGATTGCACAGTAACCTAACACTGCAGCCGGCCTTGCTTTGCATGACCTCGTGCTGCAGCCGTCCTTGTGTTGCACCATGGCCTCGTGCTGCAGTACCCCCACGCTGCACCATGACCCCGTGCTGCAGATACCGTGCACCGTGGCCTTGTTCTGCAGCCACATTTGTGTTGCACGGGAACCTAATGCTGCAGCCGTCCTTGCGTTGCACCATGACCTCGTGCTGCAGCCGTCCTGGCACAGGGTGAACATCGGGTCAGTGTGCTCCAGGTGCTGGCGGGGTCCCAGTGCAGAGTCGTCCCCCCCTCATGCTGCTGTGGTTCCCCACAGTTGTTCAGCTGCTGCTGCTGTGTCTCAGAGCACTTCTATGCCGTGGGTGGTGCGTTTCTGGGTTGTCCCCATCCCACAGCGTACCCACGGCGCTGGGGGGGCTGCATGTCGGGCAGCACTTGGGGTGCTGTGCACAGCATGGGGTGCACAGAGTGTGGGGTGCACAGGGCCGTGTGGGGGTGCCTGGCTCATAGTGGGGGTGCCCAGTGCCCCCCGCTGCCCCTTGTGTGGTTGCTGATGGAGCAGCACAGCTGCAGAGTGGGGGTCCATGGGGTGGGGGCACGGGGACCCGGGGTGCAGCCCTACAGCCTGCAGGACCCCCATGCTGCAAGGGGAGATGTGGGCCCCCCAGTCCCACCCCAGCAGTGGGACTACCCTGCGTGTGGGGGCTGCGTGGGTGATGTGGGGCAGTGGCACCGTGGGGGCTGTGCTGGGGCACCCCCACCTCGCAGCCCAAAGCCGTCCCTTGTAGGGGTCTCACATCCCCCAGTCCCTCCCTGTGCCCCCCTCCAACCCGAGGCGGTGGGCGGGGATGGTCACCGAGGGG